TCTAGGAATTCTAATAAATAGATTCATTATCCTTGTGCTGAATAATAAATATATAATAAGCTAATTATTATTAATAGTTCATTTCTTTTTATAATAAATTGTACGTTTAGACATTTACATCAAAGATCGCGGTTCAATTAAATTTATAATATTATAATATGTAATATCATTTTAAGGATGTCGACAAAAAATGCGGATTTATATTTTGTATTTCTTGAATATAAAAAATTAATATATTTAAAAATATTATTAAACATTATGTTATCTTATATAAACAGACTACTTATATAAAAGCCTACGTTAACTAGAGATATAAATATTAATTTCTCGCACATTTGCGCAGAGATTCTTATTTTTTAAACGTCAGTAAAAATCAATGACAGTAATCTGGGCAAAAATCGCAAGCTTTATTCCGGCTTTAATATCTAGTAAATAATATTAACATTTCATAAAACTTATATCAACAATAAATATGATTACTGTATTTACGTTCTCTCACAGGAAACCAATCATCACTGAGCACGTCTTGATGCCGAGGTCGAAGGCACTTTGCTCTCTACATACATACACGCTTGTCAATGTTACGCGCGACTGTCTTTACTATTATCAAACTAAAATTTCAATACCAGTGATTAACGTTCGCTCTGACATAAGAACCCAGTATCTGGATTTATTTTGCTGATTCGCGGGCGGTACAATGCCCATTTGTGGTATGAAATTATTAAGTCAATGAAAGCAGGAAATTAAGATTGTGCTTTATGCACGTATCCTCTGTGGTAACAGTTGTTACTAGAAATAATTTCTCAAAATATACATAATAAAAAGTTCCTATTTCAGGAAATGTTTTATTGTTTGATTTGAATTGTAAAATTATCAGAGAGCTCTTAGTCATATAACGTCAGTCGAGTCTATTTATAGATAAAATTTACTCGGAGAAATATTGAATTTTCAATTGATTTTCGAATATTGACAAATTGAAGCTGCGAAGACACTTCATATTGACATATTTCAAATAGAAATGAAGAATATCAAATATCATTCGTTCTTTTTCGAAGAATATTCTAAACTAATATGTATACTGATGCAATAAGTTGGAGCGAAATAAACTATACCTGTTTCATTCCAACTTGTTGCACCAATGTACAGAATATTCTTCGAAAAAAATAGACCTCAGTCAGAAAAAAGAAATTTTATTTATGTAGGAAATAATAATTGTGCTTTACTAAAAAAATTTATTTTAAAGTATTTTATAAATTAATACAATTGAGGACCTATAAACCCCTCGATTTTATTAACTTATTTGTTTATTTAACTCAGCCCTAATTAACAAATTAATTTAATTAAACCATTTTACTAAAATATTTATTATAAATTTTCATCTTTGTATAAAAATATAAAATGTTATCTAATTTTTTAAAATAAAATAATGAACAAAATATTTTTTATAAATAGTAAAAATCGATTTTTTTATTGATGGATAAAAGAATAATTATTATCTATCAATATCTCATATGCGTTTAGGTTTGATAAGCATTATGTCACAGCTCTGATAATTTCAATGACTTCTTTGATTTGGATGGATAAATATCAACTATGACGTTTTTTTTACTATATATATAATCCCAGCAAACTTAGTTATTCGTGCTCACGTAAACAATCGTTCTCGAACTTCAGGAAGTTATTATTCTCGCCTGCAAGACTTTATTTACTGCGTTTCAACGTCTCAACATAGTTTACAGAAATCAGAATTTTGAAATCATAAAGTGCAAAATGCATAGTATTAGAAATGTGATAAAAAAAATAACTAGAATTTAATCGTATATATCTTATATAAATTTAAATCATTTTATAACATATTTTAGGTTTTTAGAAGCTTATAATATAAAAATATAGAGTCATTTGATTTGTTATATTTATTTTATATAAACATTTAAAAATTTATTATTTTATTTGCAATAGTTAAATATTATGTACATACGACTTCGCTTTATGGTTATAACTATTGATGTGAGTAAACTTTGATTCTAGCGTATTATCATTTACATAATCTTTTAATTTTAGGAAATATAGTGAAAAATTATACTTTTTTTTACATATATCTACTTGCATTGATTTATGAAACTCATCACGCATTCTTCGCTAATTTGGTACGCATGCATAATCACATTAATGGTCAAATAGCATCGTCACCACGTTGCATAATATACGTATACGGACAATATCTTAAAATATTTGTCTTTTATTTAATCGCTTAAAAAATATTTTTAAAAAGAAATTAGGTAACATTGCTACAATGTTGTTAAAATGTTTCAAAATATTTCTTGCTTACTGGATTAGTTTTTAGTTAAATCATTCATTATTTTCAATTTTGTTTATGTTATAATTACGAGTTTCATGTAAAGGAAGCATTTTGAACAGTGTAAATTTACTAAAACAATAGGTCTGTTTTTTATTGCTATACTCTCTGTATTGGTGCACACGACGCAATAAGTTGAAGTGAAATAATAAATATATATTCACTTTCATTTATTGTATTGTATGCATCAGTTCAGAGAGCAATAAAAAACAGACCTAATGCCATAGACGAACAAGGTCGTTGCATGCCGAAATGAATAATTTCCACAAATCTGTATTCCTCTAATATTATCCAACAGTTCCGCTGCAGTTCTACATATTAACGTTTCCTCAATGTCAAAATTTCAAAAAATCTTTTCAGTAGTAGAAGCGTCGTTTCGTAAAAAATCATAAAATTATTATATATAAATTATATAAAATAAGAAATTACAAATCTTAATATATATGTTATACTGAATAAGTTAATCTTTTAAAGGAATTCCTTCTATAAATCAGTATAATTATTCTGCTAAGTCAATATTGTGTACAGAACTAAAAAAACATTTTAATATATTTGTTTCTGAGAACCATGAGCATCAAACGACCAAAT